TTTAGACATTTAAGACGTATTAATGTGACCATATAATTTTAATAGTCATTATAATATTTATTTTATTCTATTTTACTTTAATCAAGGTATTATTACAGACACAGTTGTCTAACACGGTAGTTATTTTGTCCTTAAAATACGTGCAAAGGTTTGCTAAAAGCGGTAGATCCGTGAATTTTGGGGAGGAAGGACCGGAGTATAGATTGTTTACTATTGCATTGATGCTGGCGAATAAGTTCCTTGATGACAATACATTTACAAATAAAACGTGGTCAGAAGTTACTAATATCCCTGTCAAGGAGATCAACAGAATTGAACTTGCATTTTTGGAATGCATGGATTTTAAAATGTATGTCAGTGGTTCTGAGTATTCCCATTGGCTCGAATGCTTGAAAGAATATACAAAAACGCAACAACAGTTGTATGTTCATCAAAGGCAACGTTCTTCTTCTGATACTTTGAAGAATGGATCATTAATTACAGCTCAAAATCAACATCAGATAGATAACAGACCTTCTGAAAGGTTCGTACAATTCAATCAAGGAACACCTTCATATTTCGATTCTGCGAATACTACGGCTCCTGTTCTTGGTCAATGCATTACGTCAGCATCTCAATTACCAACCGAGATGCAACAACTTTCTATGCCCACAGCAATTGGACCGACAACTTCAGGCATAATACAACCCCCTGCAATTGCTCGTGTACACCATTCGTTTGGCCAGCACTCACCTTCTCCTGCTCAATTGGCTTTACGCAATTCTTATTATGGTTCTTTGCGAGATAACGGTGGTTCATTTCATGTTAAAAGACATAGTATGCCCACAATGAATCTTAAAAATATTATTGATCAAGCACCACAGCAACAAGTTAATCAGTTAAAGCCGTCGAATGTCAATTCTCTTGCATACCATCTTAATGCAAGATTGGATGCCCAACAGTTTAAACAGTCCAATTCTAATTCATATCAAAATGTTATGGCATCCTCAAAAGTTTCTGGAAGTCAAATAGACACTAATACATATGGGTCATATGGAAACGTTGATAATCAGCGTGGCGAACATCATTCTCGCCTCAACCATCAGGTATATACCATAAATAGTTCTGATTTGTTTAATTTTTCACAATTTATTAATGCAGTTATTGATGGTATTCATAGACATCAACAGTAGGGTTACGACCCAATCCTTTTTTTTGAACTATGACACTACTATATAGGTTGGGTTTGGAATCTGGATTTCTACTACATCTGGGATAATAACCAAACTCCAAAAATATATGTCCCATTTTCGATCAACAGTGTCAAACTCCAACAAATCAAATTTGTAATCAATGCTACAAAGTATTAAACTTCAGAAATTAAAAACTAGGAGTGATTTAGTGACTAGACAAGATATGTTGAAAAATGATATGTTAGGTCTAATAATAATATCGAACATGTATACAATACAGTGGCGATCAAAAATAATGCAGCAAAAAAAAAAAAAACAAAAAATTGTTTAGATCGTATTTACGCAATTCTCAATGCGTCCTTTTTTTTTCTTTTTTTTTTTCTTTTTTTTTTTTTTTTGTAAATAGTATGGGTTTACATATAAAAACCTTAGAAAGTGTTAATGGGCCAAATTTTCACGGGCATGAGCTTTATTTCAAATAGCATGTTGCATTACTTTTGCTCGTTTTAAAACATAACACGGATATAAAATAAAAATTTTTTTATATGCCGTTAACTCTCTTATATAACGAAGAACTTTTTTATAACGAACCCACTCAATAACGAACTTTTAAAAAAAATTATCTTATTATAGGGTTCGGTATAGAAATATATTAAATCACTCTATTATAAGGAATTTTTAAAAATTTTAACTGTCAATTCGTTATAAAGAGAGTTAACTGTATATAAAATAAAAAATTTTTTTTGTACGTATTTATATTTCATGTCATTATTAATGGATGTTCTGATGTATCTGTGATATCATGAATTTATTTTGTCAAGGATGAATCAGATTAATGGAAGAATCTAATTCATTTTCTACTATGTTGATTAGAACTCGCTTCAAGATTTTTAATTATATTAAAAAACGCGTTAGTTAATTCAAATTTATATTAAGGTTTTTTTATTAGTTAGAGTAAGATTTCTTAATACGTAACAAAGAGTAAAATTTCATAATTGTTATGATGTAATACGTATAATTGTTAAAATGTATTCGTAACAGACGTTACATGTAACACCCCTGTAGCTAAACAACATTATATAGGATTAGGTTACACTAGTTTTTTATTTATTATTACTGGCTTTACATACTAAGATGTTACAAATAAGTATGTACCAATTAGATTCGTCCACATAATAAAAATTCGATTTATTAATTATGAATTTAATTTCTATAATAATAAATATCCATTTTAGAATTATCCGTATCTGAATTCGGATAATTCAGATCAATGGCACGGATTTTTTCTTCTTGAATCTAAATATATTACGTATATATATACTTAAGTATAACAATCTAACCATGATACTTTTTATTTTCTTTCTATACTTAAAATGTATTAACTATTCAAGGTTATTTGTTTACAAAAAAATTCTTACTTGTGCAAATCTACTAAACTATTTTTAAACCAATCTTATAAAAGAAAAAAAATAGGTACCATCTTTTAAAGTTCACATTCTGTGAAAATTGGTTTTTTTCTTCGCACATTTGACTTAAGCAATAAATTAAAATGAATTTTGACAAATTTTAAAAGAAAAATTTGTGCCGTGGGTGTGATGTTTAAGATACACTGATGTCTTGTTTAATATCACTGTATTTTGCGGCAGAGTATGTGATTGCGCAACAACATTCATTACGCTTTTACTATCGCTATGCAATGATATACAAAAGTAAATTTTAAATTTATATTTTTATAGATTATCACGTGTTTATGGGTCACCGAATCAGGGACGGTGATTTTCTGTGATTCACAGAAAACCACAGAATTTCTTTTAAACACGGAAAACTACAGAAATCATCCTTAGTTACCACAGAATACCACAAATTCTAAAAAAGTCACAGAATTCTAAAAAACATGGCGCAGAATATAACAAAAATTCTAAAATATTGCGGCACTTGACCACAAATTCGCGTCGACGCTGGAAATTCTGGAAAGGTAGACAATAAATCAACACAAATTACGAGCACGTTTGTCGGGGAGTTACGGAATTATATGTTTAAAAAAAATCAGATAAACGCATCAAAACACAGAAATTAAAGAATAACATCATATAACTGCACAGAAACTATAAATTAGCACAGAATCGCACAGAAATTTGATAAAAAATTTATCACATTAAATCACAGAATTTGTCTTAACCACATACAGAATTTAGTCTTAATCACCACAGAAAATCACCGTCCCTGCACCGAATTATAATTAACTAGTGGAAGCCGTAGGTTTCTTTTTCTTTTCTGCCTCAGCCTCCTTTTCTTTTTCAATTTCACTAACTATAGCCTCAACCTCTTCAATTTCCAAATTCTTTTACCCAATAAAAATAATAATGGATTTAACAACCAGATGTAAGCAATAAATTGATAATGAATTACGAGTATATATTTTTCTTACCTTAATAACACTATCATCTGTCATTAAAGCTATTTCAATGTTCTTAGCCCCAGTTTGTACAACCTCTAACAAAGACTTAACCGTTAATTTAATAGTCTCATCTTTAGTCAAACCTTCTTTATAATTTTTTTCCAAAAATTCGCGAACAGTCTTCGAGCTTCTACCAATCGCGTTAGCCTTATTGTAATCAATAATAATAATTTGTAAATAAAAATTATTGCAATAAATAAGTAAATGCGTTTATTTAATTACCTTCCATGCCGAATATATACCAGACGGATCCGTTTGATAGAGTCTAGGCGTTTTATCATTTGGGTCGAAACCAATGATGAGTGTTGAGATTCCAAAAGGACGAACACCACCACTTTGCGTATATTTCTACATATAAAGTAATTAAAAAAAATTTCATAATTAATCTATTTGAAAAAAAAAACAGATACCTGTTGAACGCCAGCAATATATCGAGTTATATATTCAATTGTTACAGGATCTTCTACGGTAAGTCTGTGACTTTGACATTCTATCCTAGCCTTATTGACGAGAACTCTTGCGTCAGCATTTAGTCCTTAGATTTGAATTTGGACAGCAATCAATAAAACTAAAAATCCAGAAATTTATATGGCACTTGAAAAGAACAAGAAATTTTTATACCAGCAAAGGCCATGCATACATGATCATCTAGCATCACAATCTTCCGTACAGTCCTAGGATCTTGTAGCTTGAGAACAGATTTTTTCTCGACACCGAGAACTACACAATCGTTACCACGAACTCCTACCTATATAAATTCAAAACTGTTCTTAGATAATCATATGGATTCACGATCGATTACACTTCAATACTTAATTTCACAACAAAAGAAAATAGATTTGAAATAACCAGTCGTTTCATAAGTACTTTTACCAGGGATTACCTACCGCACAAGTACCTTTCCTAACAGCTTCTAATGCATACTCGACTTGAAATAAATGACCGTCCGGAGAGAAAACGGTCAAAGCTTTGGACAAAATCAAGAAGTATCAATAGTTAAATATTTTCTCATTTAAACAAAATAAAACTAATTGATAAAAAAAGTAAAATATACCGCGATCATATGAACCAGCCATCGTTAAGTTAGTTGAGAAAGAAGATTGTACATTCGTATATGAAAGATATATTAGATTATCCGTCACAATTACTGCGCCACGATCGATATGATGTACGACGCACCTGATACTTGCTTACGTAAGCATGTACGTAATAACTTCGCGTAAAATGTCACGACTTCATCGTCAAAAACGCTAACGTTTTTGATCATCCATAAAAAATCTGGGGAACAGTCATGCATTTATGCGATCTGCAAGTACTAATCGTGTAATTACTTAAATAGCTGTTATAATTACAAATCACCAAAAGAAACCATGGAAGTCGATACCTTATCAATTATTTTACTTTTTTTGATAGTTTTTTTCACGTTCCTATCAATTCGTGAAGCACCAAATTCTGACATTCATCCCTTGTTACTTACCTCCCAATCTGATGCTGCAAAAGTGCGATATCCTGGCGAAACAGCCGTGTACAGGTCTAATAATTCTCAACATGGAATGCCATTATTAACTACACCAGAAAATGGGGTTAAGACTATTGCAGAAATGTTTCAGCATGGCTTGGAAGCAGGAAACGATTGTTTAGGCTCCAGAGATAATAACGGCGCGTATACTTGGGTATACACGATTATCTTTTGAATGACCGTTTTTAATAAAGTTACTTATTTCTAATTTTTTTTCACCCATTAAATTCTTCAAAAGCAATCATACCGTAAGTGCCTATTTTAAGCTTATATCCCTATACTAAATCAGTTCTGGCTGTATAAATGCAATCCTTTGATTCAAATCAAAACAGGACAAATATTTGAAAGAATAACAAATTTTGGATCGGGATTGATTAAATTTACTGGGTTAACTCCTAAATCGCAAGATAAATTCGGCATTTTCATGAAAAATTGTCCAGGTATTAATTGTCTTGTCGTTGATCCTTTGCGATATCCGAGTAATAAGACTTATTTCTATTGTTTTAAAATATTGTAGAATGGGTGATTGCGGATTTGGGTAACTTTTAAAATATGTTTTACATATTTTTTGTTTCACGGAATCACTAGTAAAGCAATGTACTATCTATTTTATAATTGCAAAGCTGCCTGCCATTATAGTTTGATTACAGTAGCACTACCTAGCATTCTTCCTCGTGTCAATGATGTTATCAATCAGATTAATCTCACCGAAATTGGTGTCATCGTGGCATCCAAGGATACTCTTCCGATTGTACTATCTGCAGCGCCCTCCTGTAAAACATTAAAATATATTATAATGACGGAATCTAGTTTATCCAAAGATCAAAATGAAAAAGCTGAGACGTTAGGGTTAACTCTCACGACGTTCAAAGATATGGAGGAATTAGGTTCCACTTCTAAATTGGAATGTGTCACTGCTGGTAACTAATTTTCAAAGATATCTTTCAATTTCAGATAACTTTAAATTTTGTAATTAATTAGTGTCTTATCAGCACCGGAGGATACAGCAACCATTGTTTTTACAAGTGGATCCACTTCAGGAGTACATATTTATTATATATTTCACTACTGTCGTCAAATTCCTTTCATATTAACATAGTGTTTTGATATAAATGTTTTCATCAGGGACCGAAAGGAGTCGAACTAAAACACTCTGTAAGTTTTTGTTTTCTTATTTCATACTCTTCAAAGCATAAACATTATATTGATTTGTATATATCTTTGTTAATAGAACATAGTAGCAAATGTTGGTGGGTATGAATGACTTCTTTGAGAAAGAAAGCCAGCCGCACATTGCTTATAAATACTTTCTTTCACAGCTGGAACTCTTGTTGCTGTACACACTACGCAGAAAATAAAAACCTCTGATAGACATCTATCATATTTGCCTCTCGGTAAGGCCATTATGAAATCATTTATATTTGCCATATATTGTTTTGCAAACTTAATTAACATTTCTAAATTAGCATATATGTTCGAAAGAATTACGGTCATGGTGTTATTATTTTCGGGTGCATCGATCGCATTTTACAGTGGAAGGATTTCTACTGTTCTACAAGATGCAGAGGAGGTCAAGCCGACTATCTTCACCAGGTATGTTTTTCACTGGTTTTACTTTTATAAAATTATTAGCTAATTATAATTATATATTATATAGTACACCCCGCATATTATCTTTATTTCATGAGAATATTTTAAAATCCTTAGAAAACAAGTGGTTTTTTAAAAGAGGATTCAATACTAAATATAAATACTTAAAGAAGGGAAATCTTGTTACTAATTCCATATGGGATATTTTAGTATTTAATCAAGTTAAGGCCAAATTTGGAGGCCAAGTTCGTGTTATTGTTACGTCATCTGGTATAATTATTGTATTTTTTCAACTTATGTTTTCTTAAAAAGAGATTAATAAGATTTTTTGTAGGTTCAATTACGCAAACCTTACTCGATTTTTTTCGAATTACCGTCGGGTGTCAAGTTCTTCAAGCTTATGGCCTTACACAATGCAGTGGCGCAGTAACAGTTAATGCGTTTTATGATTACTATTCAATTGATCAAAACGGTCATGACTCACACACAGGTGGTCCGCTTGCTTGCAACGAGATAAAGTTAATAAATTACGAAGAAAGAGGTTACACTGTTGAAGATGTGCCTAATCCCAGAGGCGAAGTATGAATTAATCATATCATTGAATTTTTTTTTTTTTGTATATTATGATTTAATTTGGTATTATAAATTCAGATTTGTGTTCGAGGTCCCAACGTTATGAAGGGTTATTACAATCTTCCTGACGAAACATCTCGTGTTATTGATGCAGATGGATGGTTTCATACTGGCGACATTGGAATGATCTTACCAAATGGAACTTTGAAAATCATTGATCGAAAATAGGGATAA